CGGCAGGGCCCCGCCAGTCAGGTGCAGCTCGCGCAAGCCGTGCCGCTGCACAAACTCGCGCAGAGCCGCCAGGCGCGCCCGGTGCTCCGGGCTCGGCACGATCACAGGCAGCGGCGGCCGCTGCGGCGGCGGCGGCTGCTGCGGGGCCGGCGGCGGCGCCGCAGCGCAGGCGCTGCTGCAGCCGCTGCCCACGCGTTCGGGCTGGCGCAGCGTGGGCGGCACGGCGGCGGGGGCGGCGGCGGAGGCGGCAGCGGCGGTGGCGACTGGGGAGGCACTGCAGTGCGCGGGCGGCGACCCCTGGAAGTCGGACTGGTAGTGCTGCATCGCCATGTGCTGCGGCATGGATTGCGGGAAGTCTTGGCTCTGCAGGCCAGTCTGGCCTGACAGCTCCTCGCTGGCGGCGGCCTGCAGGACGACCCCCGGCCCCCGCGCCGCCACGTGCTGCAGCTGGCACGACGCGCCCGCCACGGGCTGCGGCAGCAGCACCAGCGGCACGGCCGCGGGCGGCGCGGCCGGCGCCATGGGCAGCCCGCCGATCACCAGGGGCGCCTGCGGCTGCAGCAGCTGCGCCTGCTGCCCTGGCGCCAGTAGCGGCGGCTGCAGCAGCAGCGGCGCCGTGGCGGCGGCGGCGGCCATCTGGGTGGTTATGAGCGCGGACTCCAGTGCCATGACCTGCGCCTGGAGCGCCGAATTCGTCTCCTGAATGTGTCCTAGGGTGGCCTTCACAGTGCCCTCCCGCTCACGGCGCCGCTGCCTGCGGCGGGCACAAAGGAGCAACAAGGGGGGAGTGGTGCGGAGAGTTGGGCGCGGATGGTGCTTGGTCCAAGGAGCCACGCTTGCCATAGGAAGTGGAGGGGTAAGGACGTCGCTGCACCCCGCCAGGTGGGGCTGGCCCCGAGAGACGTGCGCGTCACAGAGGCACCACCGCCCGCCCACCTGTAGCGCTGCTGCGCAGCCTTGTTCAGGAGCTGCTGGCGTTGAAGTTTGGCTTCATGATCGCCAACAATGTCCTGTGCAGGTGAAATGCTCCCGGCGGCAGGTCGCGCTGGCCTGCCGCGCTTCGCTGACGGCTGCTCCTCAGACTCGAAACTCATACTGCCGGGGCCGCGAAGCTGGCTGCTAACGCCACTCTGGCTGAGTCGGCGCTACAAAAGTCCAAGATACACACTTATTTACGAGAGAATAGGCATCGCTCGTTTTGAGCTGCTCGAGCTGCGAGGTGCCCATTGCCTCGGCTTGGCGTGCTAGACTCGTCGCGAGACGACGCAGCGAGCGGCTAAGAACGGTCACAAAGTTCCACAGTCAGAGCAAAAGGCAAGCGCGCTTCTTGTGGCGCGCCGCGGGCTGCAACTCGAGGGCAGAGATCGGGCAGCCGCTACTGTCAGAAGGTGCACAGCGCACATGTGTCAACTGAACGTTTGAATTTTGTGAGCTGTACGCGCGGTCAACTTGGCCGTTGCACCGGCAGACGGGTGACGCTGACCCTCACCCGTCGCAGCCACCGCACAGCAAGTGCAGTCATCGAGGCTTCAGCTGATAGCCAAGCACAGCAAAGGACATGCAAACGCCAGAGGCACTAAGTGACGGATAGAATTCTACTTCTCCACACCATCTACACGGTTCAGCGGCCGGGGTCGCTGACCTGTGGGGGTCGTGTGCCTGAGGTCCGGTTTTGCTTGGCGACGTTTGCCGCCTGTGCTGCACAAGGGGCGTCCTGTCAAGCCCCGGCGCTGCCACGCACGCGTTGCACTTTTGCCTCCCCACTGACACTGTTGTACAGCCTGCAATGGCCCTCGGAAGCTGCAGTCTGGCCCTGTGAGCTTCGGCTTGCTGATATGCTCAGCGCTGCGATTGCGACATGGGCTGGAAACACAACGTCTTGCAATCCAGGTTCCCGCATGCCTGCAATCGTGCTGCTCACCACAGCGTGATGCAGGTATGCGGCACTGCAAGCTTGCGGCATGCACCTGCCAGCATTTCACCATGCACAGGCAGCCGGCCACAAGGTTGCCTCTCTCACCCCCTACCAGCATCACCTTGCCCGCACGCCATGGCCGTTGCGGACACCAATTTGCAGAGCTGAGGCCATGAGGGAAGACGCAGTGACAAAGAGCCCTGCCCTGCAAAAAAGTCCAACTTGCCTGAATTCATATATGCCCGCTGAACAGCCCGCAGAACATCTGTCCGAGCAGGGCTGGTGCGCGCTCTGGACGTCTGCCGCGCCCAGGTCAACCCTGGGTTAGCCAAACTCAGCTGTTAGCTCAGAATACCCTGCTGCACAATATGAAGGTGTGCCTGATGCTGCGCCTTCCTGCACGCTCTCGTCATCTGCAGCACTTGCTGAGCCCTGAACTTCTGCTGAATCGAGTGCTGCGATGCCAACATGCCAAGGCAAGCGCATACCTACAACAATTCTCTGGTTGTGGATGAATATTTGTGGCTTGCCGCATGCTCCCTTGCACAAGCAAAGTCATCTTATAACCTGCCCAACACCAACACCATTGTGCACGACAACCATTGCTGCATTTAACTGCTCACAACAACAGCATGGACTGGAGACGCTGAATGGGCCTTTTGCACCTGGTGGCTGCAACATCCAGCACCTGTTTGACATTTCAGGCGCTGCCTGCTGTGGTGGAGTTGAAGACCAGCGCCAGTCTGTATTTGTGGGGAGTTCAAGTTACTCGTGTGATTGTTGCGGTTCGCAGGCATTTGAGTCAGGGCAGCATGTGCACCACGGCTAGCTGGCGGCCAAGATCAACCCTAGAGACTGCAGCCCGCCCTTGTAGAATGATGCAGGCGGCCCATCGACTGTACCCTCACGCAGCACTGGTCGACATGCACACGCCGACAACCCAGCCAAAAGTCATTCACATTCATACACTGGGCATGGTACAAAGGAACGTGCAGAATGCACGCCAAGGTGCGATATGTCAGTGGCAGCCGCACTTGAAGCGTCATCAGCCCAGCAGGCCGGTGCTGGGAGGAGTCTGGGGAGAGTTGACAAGGATGTTGCCGAGGGGAGCGCCGCCAAGGACGCCGCCAAGGAGGGGTCCGACAATGGGGAGGCCGCTCACAGTTGTGGTCAAGCCCGTCGTGACGCCGCGGACGCCCGTCACAAGGTTGCCAGTGGTGTCAAGGACGCCGGTGACAAGTGAGCCAGCAACGGGGCCGGCAACGGGGAGGCCGGCCACGGTGTCGGTGACGGTGTTGAGCAGCCCGCCATAGTCGGGGCGCTGGCCCTTGAGGTCGCGGGCCGCCAGGGCTGGCGCGACCATGAGGATGACGGCCAGGGCGGCCACAAAGAGCGCGCGAGCCATGGCGGCAGATGCGGTGGTCGCACCTGTATTTGGGCGTTGGGAGCAGGAACGGGGCTTGGCAGGGGATCCAAACGGGGAGAGGGTGGCGCAAACGGTGGGCAGGGTGCACATTGGTCTGTGCCAGCCCCAAGCTGCAAGGTGCAACGCACACATGTGCTCAGCGTGCCTCAACAACTTTCAATAACGAGCGGTCTCACGCTCTCACCTGGGGATGGGGGCAAAGTCACGTCGAGGAGGCGTGGCTGGAATGGGTTCAAACGAGGTAGAAAGGTAACCACCGGAAGCAATGCGCGATGAAATTGCGGCTTGTGTGTGTTAACCGACCTTCGTTCCTTGGCCAGATCCTCAATCCCAAATCTGCATGACGCACGGTCCTGGACATGCTGACCGGGGTGGCCCGTTTGTCATAGAATGTGCCCGGACGGCCTCTATTGGTTTCTCCAGGGAGTATATCTTGCAAAATCAAAACCTGGTGGCCGCACGGGCACAATGTAACGTGTGGCGGCCATTGCGGAGGTGCTCGAGGCCATGACTCAGGCAACAGCATGGCCTGGGAGTGATTACCCCCAGCTGCGAGCCTGCCAGAAGTCCATGTGCTGCGGCATTATTGTTTCTTTTTACTCACAACTTACAATCCATATGGTTGCAGCGCTATCACCAGGTGAGGTCAGCATAGTGCGCATCAATTGGTGGTTTACATAGCAAAGTCCGAAGGCCGGTGCATTGGCCTCATGGGCGCCACAGGCACGGCTGCTACAGCACCTGGCTGGCAGCAAAGGCCAGGATGAAGCTTGGAAAGTGAAGCAGCACCTGACAGACAGCTGGTCTTGCGCCTAGTGGCACATGAGCTGCTCCAGATGCTGACTCTGCAGAACGGCAGCTGCCACGTCATGTGAGCCACTCCATGATGGCGTTTTTCCGCTCGACGGCACAATGGTGCTTCGTCATCTGGCCGCCCGAGGGCTTCCCTGGCCTTGAATTGTCATGCATTAAAATGCTGTAAGCAAGCACTGCTCTCCTGCGCTTACGCCGTCGGCAGCAGGCTCCTGGCGCTGCTGCCGCGCAAGTCGATGATCGGCAGGGACGCCTGTGTGCATGTCAGTGTGACAGGGTTGCTGTTGTCACGCGCTCTGAACCTGCTTGTGCGATTCTCGCCGTCTTGGCTTAAAGCGCACCTGGCTGTATCAGGTGAAATGTGTCCTGCTTTCGCTGTCCTGGCCGGGATTTGAAAATGATGAGCGCTGCGTGGCAAATTTCCGTTTGAGCCCGACCATGCTGACAAGGCAGTACTCGGTGCGTCCCCTGAGACGCGCATTGATTACTACTGTATAAGGTGTCAGATGCAAGACGACAGGTTATCGATCGGCGATGGTTATTCGAAGGGGGAAGCCAAGAACGGGACGCGCTGCACATGGCCACTGGACTGAGGGCCCGCGATCGGGTTGCCCACCCGCCTTGTGGGAGTTGGCTGGACGGCGTTTTGAAGGCGCCAAGCCGGGACGGTGCACCGGCACAACCTGCGCCTGAATATTGTCTCAAGGTCTGATGTGCGCGCCAGCCGTCCAGCAACAGGAGCGCTTCTGCAACCCTGCGTTCCCCAACAATGTGATGCGCCGCATGCCGATACTGGGACCAGTTCTTCCCCCTGCGTGCATGTCCCACCTGGATCATACGGCTGCTATTATCTACGGACAAGGCCCTGCAAGATGATAGTTCTTGTGCGCACCCCAATTTTCCCGGGAAGAGGGCCAATGCTGGTCGTGTGCACCCCCGCCCACACCTGTCTCTGCTACTGCTCCAGGTGTCCAGAAACCTTGAGACCTTGAGCACACTGGCTTGAAGATGGCCCTGCTCGAGCTCTGCCACTGCTGTTGCTGTGTCAGCTGCTGCTGTAGCTGCTGGCAGTCTGGGGATGGAAGTACTCGTCAAAGACGCCTTGAGCTCCGCCGAGTTCATGCGCACTCGTGCGCGCATGCAAGCTCACGTACACGCACGTGCACGCACATACACGCATGCAGGCATTATGCATGCACATAAACACATGCAGGCACATGCACGCACACGTGCGCTCGTGTGCACTTGTGGAGGTCAGTCGTCGCACAGCGCTTCACCCCCAATCTGCCCGTGACTCAGCAGTAATCAGAACACGCTTTGTGGGTGAGCGGGGTCGCCATCTGCTTACGGCCACTACTGTTGTCCAAAGCCTTTGTGCACAATACTGGCATCTCCAGTACTTGAGCGAACCCGGCCCAGGCTCCTGATTCTGTGCCTGCTTGCGCACACAGCCAGCTCAGCCGAGCGAGCCTTTGCTGATTTGCTGCGATTGCTGGCATCCCAGAGGCCAGAGGGCTGCCTATCTGTTAGCAGCACCCAACGAAGCAAATGTCCCGTCGCATGTCACTGCTGTTGGCCACACCTGGATGACGACGCGATCAGACTCGAATCGGTGTGTGTTACCGTACTACACGACAGCTCACGCACGTTCCCGTTGTGATCAACGCAGCGAACTTACACGCGTGGGGCTGTCTGTGTCCGTGTCAGTGACAGTTGATCCTGTGCTGAGCTGCGGTGCCAGCAAGCAACGCACCAGGCGCGAGCGGCACCAGCGGCACCAGCGGGGGCGCTTCGCCCACCAGGCTCGCCAGTGTACTTCCGGAGGCCAGTAGCCAACTGTGAGGGCTGTAGCAATAGATCATTGTGCCTGAGGCTGCCAGAACCGCAAGGGCGCGCCGGCATGGCGAGTGTGCGCCCAAAGCGCCCGGGCGCGCCCCGCCGTCGCCGCCCCTCGTGCGGCCCGGCGGGCGGCAGCGGCGGCCTGCTGCCGCGGCTGTGGCACACGCCGCGCTGGGTGACGCTGATGGCCGTGGCGGTCGCCGGCTGCGCGCTCGGCTGGCTGTATCCCAACCCCTCGATCCCTCCGCCGTGGGGCGAGGTGCAGAGCGCCACTGGATGGACCTACACCGCAGCTTGGTCCCTCTCCTTTTACCCCCAGGCAGGCGCTAGCGTGCTGTGTGCTGTGTGTGTGTGCGCAAGCATGTGTGTATGTGTAATTGTGTGTTTTTCATGTGTGGGTCTCAGGCGCGCGTGCGTGTGAGAGCTTTCTACAGTGTGTGAGCGCAAGCTAGTGCAGTGGGGACGTGTCCGTCAACACGCGCGCTCGCCGTCATGCATGGGCGGCATCTACAGTCAGACCTGAGCGCCCCGCCATTTGCGCAACCGGCGCGCCGGCGTCTGCCAGCACGTGCGCAAGCGGACCGCCGCCGACCCGCCTGCCCGCCGTGCCCGTCCAAACCCACGCCCCAACAGATCATCCTCCACCTCTTCACAAAGGACGTCTCCGGCCTGTGAGACGCAGCCCCCGCAGCCGCTGCCGCCGCCGTTGCCGCCGCGCATCCACCTCGACGGCTACAACGCTGTAAATTGCCGCGCTCCGTGCTGTCGCCCCTCTTGCGCCGCCATCAGGGCCCCTGCAGCAGAACCTCACACTGCTCAGCAGAGCAGGTCCCCGCCCTTCAAACGCCCACCCCTGCCCGCAACTCGCCCCCGCCCCCTGCTCACCGCACCCATCTGCAGCTCCTTTGACTTTCTCGCCCTCAACCTGCTTGGCTGGTTTGCCTACGCCACCTTTAACGTCGGCATCTACTTTGGCTTCGGCTGCCCGCGCAGCGCCCCACCGGCACCCAGCCCCGCCGCACGCGCAGCAGCTGCCGCGGCGGGCTACGCCTCCGCTTCCGGTGACGGCGTTGGGGAAGCCTCGGAGGCAGGGTTTGATGGGGATCGTTACTGCCAGACTGCGGTGGACGTAAACGACGTGTTCTTTGCTGTCCATGCGTTAGTGCTCACGCTGGTGCTGCTTTGCCAGTGCCTGGTCTACCCGAGCGGCGGGCAGCGCGTGCACGGCGCCGTGCGCGCCGGCGTCCTGGCGGCGGCGGCGACGGCGGGGGCGTACGCGGCGGCGGTGGCGCTGTGGGGCGGCGAGGGGGGCGGGCTTGGGGGCGGGGCGGCGCCGGCGTGGCTGGCGGGGCGGCTGCTCTGGCGGGACTGGCTCTACTTTCTGTCATATGTAAAGATGGGGGTGAGTCGCGGGTGTCGCTGCCTCCCCACATCAACCTTGAACCACAGTATGTGTTGGCAAGGCTACGAGCTGCGCGTACTTCTTGGGCAGCAGAGGCGGACGGCTTGGACAGCTTGACACATGCTTGCCTGCATTCGCAGTGGTTGAGGCCGCCTCTTGCTCTGCATTTGTGCCCTCTGCACCCTGTTTTGAAGGTCACTATGGTCAAGTACGTACCCCAGGTGTGTGTGCGCGCGTACGTGCGTGCCCTTGTGTGTGCATGTGTGTGTATGTGTGTATATGTGGGTGTGTGTGTGTGTGGGTGTGCATCAAGGGGGAACGTGAGTACGAGGCAGCCTGGGGTTGGAGGGCACAGGCCGCCAACACAAGGCGCCCACGGGCCACGGGGAGGAGGGGCGCAGTACAGGGGAGTTGCAGGGCGCTTGGGTCGGGGAGAGCAAGGTCGCTCAGGGCTGCCTGTATGGTCTCCCACACACGCATGTCCCTTCGCTTACCTACTCAAACACTCTTACACACACACACACCCCGCACAGCACAGCACAGCACATCACAGCACAGCACAGCGCAAAACACACCGAGCACATGGGCAAGCCGGCCAGGACGCTTGGCGATGCATGCCAGGAGCGTGCACTGGCGCACACATGCACTCATGTACACGCACACAATGGCGCGTGCGTAACCACACACGATGCGTGCGACATCTCGCCCGATGACGTCAATCCCCGCCCTCCTTAGGTCATGTTCAACTGCGCGCGCCGCAGCACCAAGGGCTGGTCGATCCTCAACATCCTGCTCGATTTTATGGGCGGCATCCTGTCCATGGTACAGCAGCTTGTCACCTGCTGGCGCGCCGGCAACTGGGCAGCCATCACCTCCAACCCTGTGAAACTTGGTGGGCGGCAAGGCTCTCGTGCACCAACCGGGCTGGCCAAAGGGTCCTTTTAGAGCACCCTGTGTTTGCAATGCTGACCGTCAACTCGTGGGCAATTGCGGCCAGGCGGGGGGCGCCTGCACAGGCCTGCGTCGTCGTGCGGCAGGGGCGGGGCCAGCACACCTGACTGCACCGCGTCTCGCGCGCGCCTCGGACGCCCAGGCCTGGCCATCATCTCCATTTTTATGGACGCGATTTTCATGGTGCGGGGAACCCCTGAAATTCCTCGCTATCTTTGCTAGCTTCGCCCCAATGCACATGCTGTCTCGGGTCGACTCGAGCCGCTGCTGCCCTGACCCTCCGCGCCGCACAGAATCTCGGTGCTTCCTCGGCTGCTCCTGTGTGTCTCCCATCGTTTTCCAACCCTGTCCGCACCCCACATCAAAGCAACCACGTGCCTTTGCCTCCACCCCTTTTGCGTTACAACCTGCTGTCCTATCCACACAGTTCCAGCATTACGTTCTCTTCCCTGAAGAGGGCAGGGAGGCGCCCCTCAAGTGCACCTACACCAAGTGCCCCCTGTCCGGCGCCCTCTCTGTGATATACGAGGACGCAAACGAGGGCGACGGCAGCCTCTGCTCTCTGCTCCGCAGCGTGCGAACCAGCGCGAGGAGCGGCCCGCGCTCTGGCGCGCGCTCGCTGCCCCCGCCCGCCCGCGCGGCCGGCGGCGCCGGCGGCACCGGCGGGCCGGCGCCGTCGCGGCAGATGAGCGTCGCGGCGGGCGGGGAGCTGGGCGACGTGGCGGCGGCCGCGGCGGCTGCGGTGGTGGCCGCCGGCGAGGTCCCGGCGGCCGCCGGTCCTATTGGTGGCGCGCGGCAGCTGCGCCCCTCGCGGTCGACCCATGCGTCTCGGCGGATCCGGGTCCCGGCGCTCAGCACGCCGTTTGGCGGGGCGGCCGTCCAGGCAGCGGCGCCCGCGGACGAGTCGGACGGCGCACGGGCGCCGCTGCTGGGTGGCCAGCAGGCGGCTGATGGGGGCCGCACGCTGCCGTCCACGCTCAGCGTGCAGAGCGTGCGCGTTATCATCGAAGACGTTGACGTAGACGACCTGGAGGACGACCGATGAAGTCACCCAGCAAGGTCACTCGGTGACGACCAGCAACGCGACGTCGCGCCGCCAGCTGGCAGCTGCTGTGCTGTGCATAGCTGGACTGACCAATTGCCGGCCAGTCGGTGCAGGCGAAGTCGGGATTGACGTCAACCCGGGGTCAGCTTGACCGCTTGCCATGCTGCATGGCTGCAGGCTGTCCTGGCTCGTCACTGCGCCGCGCTGTTTACCAACCGCCCGCCGCCAGCTCACAAAGGCATTTCAACGCATGAACCTGAGGAGCAGATCCAGCGCAGTGTGCGTGTCGCGCTGCTGCCCTTTCTTTCGGTGTCATTCCTGCTGCACAGCGTTCTCGCATTTCTACTTCACGAATGCACAATCAGCTGCCTCCCGCCATCCTGCGCCGGCGCGACCACCCTGCGTCTCGCCTTCTGGTCGTCTTCCTCGGAGCATCCCCTGTTCCTGCCGGCCGGTGGCTGGCAGGCGTGGGGCGGCGGTGAGGCACGCTCTGCTTTGCAGATTGCCCAATTTCAGTCGCAAACGGGGGCCTGCAATAGACATGCTTCAATTGCATCACTGGGGTGTCATTGGTGTGCTTGCAAATCGGATGAGGGCACCCCCATTTGTCTTACGCTCCACTGGTGGCCCCAGGGTCTCCTATTTGACACGAAGTCCAATGCCCATGACGGCGGGCAGATCAGTAAGCAGATGCATATGCCTGTGCGAAAAGCGCATGCCTCACGAAATATGTACAGACGAGAAGCAATGCGTGACATGGCATTGATGTGTGTAAAAACTGGTACCGCATTGAAAAAATGGTTAGGTTGTGTAGCGAGGTTTGCAAGTTTGGATGCATGACCCAAGGTGATGGCAGGGCCTTGGCGCCATGCCAGCACAGAGTCTCTTCCGAAGAGTCACACCGACGCAGAACCGCCAAGATCTGGCGCCTCTGGCCACTCCTCAGCGCTGTCGGGCGAACACGCTGGCTGCCTTAAACCGGCCCCATCAGTCAACCCTTGCTAGGCGCAGCATGTCGTCTGACAGCGCCGGCAGCTCGCGCCCGCGTGCACCAGCGCCGGGCGACGCCTCCAGCTGCCGGAAGTTGAGCAGCACCGCCGGCGCGATGCCTGCGTCGGCCACACGCCCCTCCCGCGGCAGCGGGCGCCTGTCGGGCAGCACCAGCTCGAAAAGGGTGGCCGGGCTGCGCAGGGCGGCGGCGACGACCTCGTGGATGCGTTCGAGGGGCTCGCCCGCGCCGAAGACGGCCTCCAGCTGGACCCCCTGGTTTTGGGGTGGAGGGCAGGGGTTTACGCGTGAGGGTGGCGGTCAAAGCGGCACTTCGACCGGCGGTCTTGGTGATCCATTGACATTGTGGGTCATAAGAGAGATTGCGGGGCTGCCAAGTTGCGCGGAAGTCCTGGGAGTGAGGCGGCGCTAGATTGGAGCCAGGTATGCCGTTACCTGCATGAGCGTGTTCAAAGGCGCACGCAGGCACGGGGCGTACATGATGCCGCTAGCTATCGCCCGCGATTGACACGCATGACAAGGATCCAGCCGCTCCACAGCTCAGTTCACACAAGGCGCGCTGGCCCGCTGTGGTTATTCCTTCCAAATCCCAGCTGCAGCGCGAGCCGCCACGTCACCTCTGGGAACCGCACGCGCACTGCCGCCTCCTTGAGCGCCGCCGCCGCGCCCCGCGCCGCGGCCGCCGCCTGCCTCTCCTTGTGCGCGCGCGTTGTCAGCACCTCGCCCGCGCGGCGACGCGCCGCCAGCCGGGCGTACTCCGCCTTGACGTCTGCGGGTGTCCGCTCGAAGAACGACGCATCCAATTGAATGTCGGAGGCCACGGGCAGCAGCACCTGCAGCCGCCTGTCCACCGGCGGCGGCGGCGCGGCCGCGGCCACAGTCGTCGGGGGCGGCGGCGACGACGGCGGCGCGCGCATGCCGAGGGGCGCAGGGTTGGAAGGGGCGGCAGGGGCGGCTGCGACGCCTGCTACGCCGGCAGAGGCAGCCGGTGGGGCCGTGGAGGCTGGCAGGGCTGCGGATGCGAGCGACTGCAGCTGCAGGAGGCCCTCCTCCACCAGTGGCAGGTTGTGGTCCTCAAGGAAGGCTGCAAACCTGGTGGTGTGTGTGTTGTGTGTGTATGTGTGATGTATGTGTTTCTGTGTGTGTGTGTGTGTGTGTGTGTGTGTGTGCGTGTGCGTTCGTGCATGCGTGGGGGCGCTGAGGTAGCATCCTCAGCATGTGTTGTGTCCAGTTGACAATCAATGTAACACGTATGAGGCATGCCGCGCCCGCAACCTCAGCCACGCCATCCCCATGCACGCCACATACCGGTACTCCTCCTAACACCCTTGACAAGAATTATAGGAACGTCCCATCACCATGCAGCCCGATGCCCACGCTCATGGCCCCCACCCCAAACCTCCCCAGGCCTCCCAGACCCCCTGAAATCTCAGAGCCTTATCCGCCATAACACCCAGCTCCCAAAGCTCCCACATCCTCCCATTAAGGACCCACCGCCCCTCACAGCCAACATCCCACCCACCCTCGGTGCTCCTTTCCACCCCCAACCCCTCACCCGCCGTCCTCCCCATCCCCCGGGTCTCGGTGGACCTGGAAGCCGCACGCCGCCAGCAGCTCGCAGCCGCCGGGCACCTCCACCACCGCCTCGCGGATGCGCTTGTTGCCGAGCCGCACCTGCCGGAACCTCGGCTCCTGGTGGAGATGACGGGCACGAGGCGCGGAAGCCGGCGTGCACGGCGCAAATAAGGGGGGGAGGCGGCGGCCGAGCAGGGTCCACGCGACCTGGGCCGCCACCTTCCGTGGCGGGACTACTTTCGCCGACAGGCAGGCAGTCCAAAGCCTCAGCCCGTGCTGGGGCGTGCGGATTTCAGGTGGGGGCCCCTTTACGCGCTGGTGCGGGCCCGGCCCGACTCGCCTGCGGCCGCGACAGCAGGTTGCCGAGCAGCTTCCCGAGCACTTCCACGCTGCCGGCCGCCCTCTCCGGCGGCATCGAGAGGATCAGGGCCACGCAGCGCCTCATCTCATCCACCTGATCTGCTGTCGGCGGCGGGCCCTGCATGGCTGCCGGCGCGCCAGTGGGGCCGCTGCTGCTGCCGCTGTCAGGAGGAGCCGAGCTGGCTGCAGCGGCCCCAGGGGTGGGGGCCCCTTCTCTGGGGCGGCCGCCGGAGGTGCCGCTGCTGGAGCTGCTTTCAAAGTGCGGCTCCTTAATGGCATTGAGCGCCGCTCCGCCGCCTTGGACATGGGGGTGCAGGACGAGGTTGCGGGTGGTGGACGGAGGGGTGGGCGCATCCCAAATCTGGCACGCACGGTCAACAACCTCTGCCAACACGCCGGCACTTGCGAGGAATATCCAGGAATATCAAGCATGCAGCAAGCACGTGGCTGTGAGCATGTGGCTGTGAGCATGTGGCTGTGAGCATATTGCAGAGGTCGCACCTACAGCCGGCTGAAAGGGGTCAAACTCCGACGCCGGCAACAGCACCCCCTGCGCCCTCACAGGCGCCTCAGGTGCCCCGCCGCCGCCGCCCCTTTGGCCGGAGCCCCGAGCCGCTGCCGCTGCGATGCGCTGCTCAGCAGCGGCAACGGCGGCCCCAGTTCCGAGGGGTCGCCCCGGCACCTGCTGCTGCTCCCGCTGCTGCTCCCGCACTCCTGCCAAACGTGCTGGGCCCGTGCTTGTGCTGGCAGCAGGGCCGCTCCTTGCGGGCACGGCTGGCCGAGCTTGGTTGCTCGGCGCTGCGCTTGATCCCTGTGTGCGTGTTGCCATGATCGCTTCGCATGAAGCCGACCTGCAGCAAGGTTCACGCTCGACTGGGCGGCAAAGCGAAGTGCGCCGCGCACCTCGCCGCCTCCCAGCTTGTGACCATGTCCTTTGAACGTGGAGCCACTGGTGTTCAGCTCGTTGGTCACTTTATTCCACAGACCTTTGAGCTTTTTCCCGATGTCCTCCGTCGACTTCTTCTCACCCATGATTGAATGATCTGCTAGCGCGCTGCACGTGCGTGATTCAAGATTAAAGTATCACAGCGCAGACAAAAGGGGCTACGTTGAGTGGGAGCTAGGCCGCCTGTTCATGCCGGATTGTACGCCGCACCCGGCCTCACCGCACATGCTCTAGCTGACCAGCTCTCACAGCTCGGTGACCCAAGAACCAGAGGCACCACCTGTGCATGGGCATGCAAACCAAAGGAGTGTAAGCAGATCTTGGGGTTACTCCATTGTGAGGGATCCATGGGCTGAGCATGGAGGGTAGTGGCCGTGTCGCAATTGTCACCGATGTGTTGCGGGCTGCCTGCTGACTTCAACCCATCCTCGCTGCACCATGTTGCGTGGAACCTGGAGCAAAAACGCTGGTTTCCGGTAGCGCCTTGCATCCATAAAGTCGGACCCATGTGCGTAGCACATCCCAAAACAGGGACACAAAAGTAGGCCCCTCAAGATTGCCCCGAAGCTCGTCACAGGATGGCGGTTATCAAGTGATGCAGCAGTAACATGACTGATTTCAATCTCATGTAATGAATCTGGGGCAGGAGGCTCCAAAATATCTTTAGATGGCAAGAGTTGGCGTTACAAGCATGATGCTGAGCATCACACCATCAGTGCAGCACCCCAACTGTCTCCAGGCTGACAGCACACCGCCTGGAAATTTCTTGATACTTGAGGTCATGAACTATGACCAAAACACCCACAATGCATGGGTAGCTTGTGGATTGCGCAGCACCCGTACTTGTCCACAGCCTGATCATGTTTGACCAGACGCAGCAGCGCGGCGCAGGCTGACACCTCTGGCTCGGCCGGGATCCATAACCGACCCATTTCACATGCCTATAACGTCAATTTGTTTGTGTGTGTCGATTTCAGTCAAAGCCCAGCGCTGGGCGGGACTTCGTGTGATCTAGATCTGACTACGATGTTTTCATAGGATATTCTTGATGTATGTGATACGTTATCTTGGCCTTTTTCAAAAAGATCTGGAAGATGGACGCATGAGGTCATGAGAACGATGATCGGGTTGCTCTGCGCCCTCCTTGCGGTAGCCCTGGCTATAAGCCAGGCTCTGGTGCAAGTTGAGGGAGCATATATCAGGTGACGGCACAGGGTGCTTGTGCCGGGTGGCAGCCAGCGGCGCTGCATGTGCTGGCTCGTGCTGGTGACATACCTTTTTGCTGTGGTGCCTGCCCTTTGAATCGACGGCTCGTGCAACAGACATCAGCAGGTTATGCTCAATGCTACGACCGCAGAGATATCCAGCCACGCAGTGGCAGTGCGGCTGGTGGCACCCGGTGCGTGCGTTCTGGAGGGGTTGCGCAGACATGCAGACCGGACTTCTGCTTTCGAAGCAGTCAAGGGCACAACTGCTGTGTCTTCCATACACTCAAAACAAGGCCTAGGACCAAGGAGATTGAGAAACATAGCTGCTGACAGCGCATGCACATTTGCACTTGCGCGCATGCTCATGTGCACACCACAACGGTGCTCATGCTCTTGCGCACATGCCACACATCATACACACTCACATGCACGCACATGCATACGCATTCTCTTGCATGCACCACCCTTTCAGGCTGACAATATATGGCGGCGGCTTCAGTCGGGATCGCTTTGCTGGCAACAACACCGTGTTTGTTGGGCCGTACCCCTGCCCAGCGGTCAACCACCGCAGCTCGGAAGTTGCTGTGAGTCTGCCAACGCCAGGGACGAATCCTTGTCAGGGGAGGCAGAGACGCATTTTGGCGGTCTTTGTGGCGGCGCGGCTCGCCAGCATGCACCTCGTCCAAACTTCAAGCGGCTGTCGCTTGGCAAGAAGCCGCATCCCCGCTCGGCCATGCCACACCACTTCCCTCAGGTGCAATGCGTGGCGCCCCCAGCGGCGCGCTTAGGCGCTTACCCTGTCACTGTCGTGGTGGACAGCGGCCCCACAGCGACGTCCTGCTGTTTTACATATGACAAGGAGTACACCCCCAGTGAGGAGGGCGGGAGGGCTCAGCTGGCAGGCGGCAGCGTTGGCTGCAAATTGCACAACGGCATCGGCGGCACCCCATGCAGCTGACAATGCCCGCATGCAGCTGTTAGTAACGCACATAATCAACCTCTACCTTACCATCAGCCTCATACCCATCTCTTCCACATGCCAGCCATCCTTGCGGCATGGCCGCCTGCGGGGCCCCCAGGCGGCCAGGTCAACATGTTCGGTTACCCGGGCTGGGTGATGGGTGACGCCTGCAAGTCCGCCCAGGCTGCCTCATCAGACGGGGACCTGTCCTGCCTAGGGGCCGCCAGGCTTGGCCCCTACGTCTGCCAGGCCAACGCCGGCAGCTTGGCTTGGAGCAACGACGCGGTGGCGGCGGGGGCGCCAGACCTCTTCCTGCGGTGGCGCCAGCTGGGGACGTGGCTCTACCGCTTGAACTGCACGGCGCCAGTGCCGGTGCGCACGTTCATGCGCTAAATGCAAGTGCCCAGGCGTATTGCGAGCTGAAAATCGGGCGTGATTCTTTCGGCTTGAACAGAATATCATCTGCATGTTCAAGTCTGCCAGCTCAGGGTGTGCCAGTCCTCTTGTGGCGACTCCCCACTTTACTGGCCTGCTTGCTGCTGAACCTCTCCCGCCCACAGCTGGCTGCGGGCTTGCGTCAGGGCGCGAGCCAGCCGGGCCTGGGCGTGGCGGGCAGCTACAACGTGAGCGCCTCATTTGAGGGCACGCTGGCAGGCGGCACGACGCTGGCGGCGGACCGCTCCTTCCTGGCTGACAGGCGCGGTCGTCCTTATCAGTACCAGGTGCGGAAAGGTTGCTTCTTAGTAATCTGACACCTTTGTTGGCAGCTGCGCGTGAAGGGACTGGGGTGGCAATGTGGTGCAAGGCAATGGATGATTGGGGCAGCGACAGCACGTGATTGGCAGATAGGCCCATGCATGTTCGGCCGCAAAGGCCCGTGCTTCGCAGCCTGTCGTTGCCCTATGATTTGATACCAATACGTAATATGTTCTTCTACGCCTCATCACGTTGCCTCAACCACAACTAACAACGGTCAGATCTACCCCACTATATCAAGTGTCTCCCCACCTATTGGGTCTGTTGCTGGCGGCACCACCCTTACAATCCGCGGCGCGGGCTTCCCGGAAATCAATGCCCCTGCCGGCACCGATGGCAGCAGCCCCGCCCTGCTGAGGGTCTCCATCGGGGCCAGCGGCGGCAGCAGCGGCGGCGGCGTCCCCTGTGACGTGCTGTCTTCGACTTTCGACACGGCCCGCTGCGTGACGCGGGCCGCCGCAGCAGGCAGCAATGCCACGGGCGCTGGCGCGATGCAGACGCTAGGTGTTTATCCCGGGCTGCGTGGGATCAGGCTGGATACCTTCAACCGCACGTGAGCAGCTTTATCGAACATTGTGCACTGGGTGCTTTTGACAGATGCGTGCAGCATGCTGCGACATTTTGCAGCATCACCCCAGCCGTTCCACGGGCCTCCATCCAACCAATCAAACACGCTCCGTGCCCGCCCTTCAACCCCCATGCGAACTGGACGTCAGCACGTCATCCAGCAACCTATCAGCCATGTTTGACACCATCTGGTCCTGGACACCCAATGCCACCGCCGGCGACGAGGGAGGCCGGGTGCTGCAGGGCGCGTGGGAGGCCGGCATATCTTCCAGCCGCGCCTACTACTGCACGCGTAGCTCCGCCGTCTTTACGGCGGCTGACGCGGGCGCGTACGCGTTCCTCGTGGCCGCAGACGACTATGCGCAGCTGGTAGGTGTGAAATCGTTGACCAGCACGGCGACAGCTTGCGTGACGCTCAGACCACTGACCTGCCTGCGGGCCTCTCGGCACAGGCAATGCGCTGCTCAAAACAAGCACGCTAAAAGGAGCTGCCTGAACCCCCCTTTCCCTGCGTCTCCGCTGACTCGCGCAGGTGGCCACCTGGGCTCCCACCAACGACTCAGCGGTGCTTCCTGGTGCAAATGCCACCCTTGTCACGCAGCCCCTGATTAACATCACCGGGTTTACAGGGTCACTGGACAGCTGGGGCTCCCTGGCACCCCCCACCAGCACCAGCGGCAGCCGCCAGCGCAGTGCCCCGGTGCTGCTGGCGGCGGGCCAGAGGGTTCTGCTGCGCCTCGCGCACTGCAACGTCCAGGGGCCCTCGCTCGTACAGGTGCGGGACCATCATCGATAAAGCTGTTAAATCATGGTGTCCAACTGCTCCATCATAGCATCCACCTGATGCCCGCCGAGCGGTATCTCATCCGGCCGCCTCCTCGGCGCCACTGCACTGCCCGCCCTGAGTCAGGTCGGCGTTGTCGCGCCTAGCAAGGCTCCTCGCTGGAATTCCATCCGCGAGCGGCAGCGGATCGCCGTTATCCAGTCGCCTGTTGGCGCCTCGCTGACCCTGCAGCTGCTGGCACCGGCAGGTGGGCGGCTGGGGTCCATGGGCGACTTGGGTCTGTCTCCACACGCGCCCAGTCAGGCTCGTGCACTCCTGGTGACATCTGGAGGTGGTTTGATTGAGATGCCACACAGGCAGCGTGTGCCCTTACTAACATAATCAAATGTGTGATTCAAACGGCCGCAGGGAGCGCCTTGGACTTCATTGCTGATGTGAACTTCACAGGCTCCCTGAACCAGCAGCTGCTGGGTGCGCAGGCGGTGCCTGTGGGCTTGCGCGCGTGTGTCCTTGTCTTGCCTGGTGCCCTCCTGAAAGCGCTCCACCTGTTCATCTCTCGCCTCGCGGATGTTGATCGTTTGCACGCGACCGTTCCCCACACAATCACACATATCCATTGCGCAACCACCAGGTGTGAACCTCACCGTGAACGGCGTCCTCCTTGCACCGGCACCTATGCCCCTCAACACCACCGCTCCCGAGCTCTCCCGGGCCTTGGCGGCGGCCCTCAAAGTAGCGCCGTCCAGCGCTGGCGTGGACGTGCTCGGCACGCGTACAAGCCCAGGCTTGATGAGCTGGCGGCTGGCAGCTGCAAGGTCAAACGTGCGTGCCTCCGCGCTCCCGTGTAGGGAAATGCGAGCAGGGCTGCGGCGTACGTGCTGCGCTGTCTGATCAACAACGAGCCCGCTGTATCGCTGGCGCAAGACTGGCAATTGATTTCACTGCACGCACAGGTGCTGACTTTGCTTCCCCCTTTCCTGGGCCCACCCTCTCCCCCCTCCATACACACACACACACACACACACACACACACACACACACACACACGCACGCACACACACACACACAACAC